GGAAGTATCTAGGCAATGTTTTGATGAAGTCTCATTCATCATTTTCAGGCTTGCATCTTCAGCTCTGTGCTTCTCAGAGTGATGTGAGCTTGCAGCTGCTTCTTCCTTTTAACTGCTAGTGGGGGTGTGACTTGATTGGGTGGGGGCTTGGCTGTGTTCTGATTGGGTGGGGGTGTGTTCTCATTGGTAGGGGGTTTGACTGTGTTCTGATTGGTTGCGGGGTTGGCCGTGTTCTCATTGGCTGGAGGCGTGTTCTGTTCAGGTGGGGGCTTGGTTGTGCTCAGGTTAGTCTTAGTTGCTGGGGGATTTGAGCTGGTGAGCTGTGATCCTGCTGTTTGGCTTCAAGTTCGTGGTCGTGCTACATCTTTATGGTGGGTGTCAGTTTGCTTCATGTATGGCTCGGAGTGGTTTGAAGTGGGTAATGATGCAGCTTTATTCTTCTTTTATTTATTTATTTATTTGTATCACTGCAGTTGTTAAGTTAGTAACACGATTGTTAAGTGAATCTGGTTTCCCCATTGGCGTTGCTTGTCAGAAGGTCACAAAAGGGGATCACACGACCTCCTTGGGACACTACAACCGTCATAAATAGGAATCATTTGCCAAGCATCTGGATTTCCAACACGTGACCATGGGGATGCCACAGCAGTCATAAATATTAAAAATCATCATACGTCATTGTTTTCAGTACCGTTGTAATTTTGAATGGTCGCTAAATCAACTGTTGCAACTTGAGGACTATTTATATGTAGGCCATTTATCCAATTCAGCACAATATTTGTTAACTGGAGGAAATCCACTTTTTTTCCTGTATACGTTCTATTATATTACTTATAAAGTAATAGAGGTGGAACAAAAGACAAGCAAACGAATAAATTCGGAACTTCTGCAAAATTGGCAACATCCTCTAGCTCAGAGGTGTCAAACTCAATTTCACTGAGGGCCGCATCAGGGTTATGTTTGACCTCGGGGACTGGGGTGAGCATGGCCAGGGTGGGCGTGGCCATGGGGCGTGGCCAGCTTGACCTCACTTGTGTTGGGGGCACCTGTGGCAGCCCAAGTGCTCTGCCAGTGAAAATGGGCTCCCAAGCTCCGTTTTCGGCCATGACAGCCTCCTACAGCCCTCTAGGAGTCCATTTTCTCTGGGGGAGGGCTGCAGGAGGCCATCACAGCCAAAAACAAAGCTCAATTTTTGCTGGCAGAGGCACCATAGGTCGGTCCTTCACTGTTTCCAAGGCAACCCCGCGGGCCAGATCTAAACACCCTGAGGGCCAAATCCAGCCCACAGGCCTTGAGTTTGACACCCCTGCTCTAGCTGATATTTTACAAAAGTGTTGTAAAATAGTTGTAAAGTGCTTGCACCCATGAAATCACGACACTTTCTTCAATAGAGGCCATATGGCTCGATGTGAAAAGTATAACTATGCATAGACAGGCTGCCTACTAAACAAATTGTGGACTGCTAGCAGGAATGGAATTATTTATGAAGCTGAATTAGGACAGTTGTGAGTATCACAAAAACTGGCTGGAATGTTGTCTCTGCTTATATGGACATTTTTTGTTTATTGTTAGGTTCTCGATGATAGTAAAAAGTGGTGGAAAGTCAAGAATTGTTATGGTCAAGTTGGTTATGTCCCTTATAATATTCTTGCTCCAGTGATGAACGGAGATCATTCCAATATCAAGAATGACAAGGAAATTCTTGTAATCCATGAAATCGACCCTATAATAACAAAGGTAAGTTAGAACGGAGGTCCCCAACTCTCAGTCCGTGACCCAGTGCCAGGCTGCGGCATGCTAGAAACCAGGCTCTGCAAACAAGTGAAGTTCCATCTGCAGAATGCAGGCAGCATGTGAAACTATGTCCCCACCAGTCTGCGGAAAAAACTTCTCCCTGGTGCCCAAAAGATTGCGGGCCACTGAGTTAGACTACATGAATTAGGGCTTTGTTTATTTCTGTTTTTTATCATTCGGCATCCAATGGGATTTAAAATTAAAAATCAATATTTTAAAAGCAGCAAAGAAAACAACTGAACCAGCGAAGCAATCCATCAGGAAAAAACCCTAATGAAATATATTTATTAATTTGATCTATTGATATGGCCACATAGCTCACAGACCAGGACTCTGGGCGGCATACGATACAAAAAGTGATTGGGTAGAATAGCCTTTGCTTTTCTTAATCTTCTCCAGATGTGTTAAGCTATAAACTTGATGATCCTCACTTGATACAGGTAGTCCTCACCTATGATCACAGTTGGGACTAGAATTGCCATTTCTTTCTGAGATGATGGTTAAGTGAATCACATCCAATTTTACAGACTTTTTTTTTGCCACAATTAAGCGCATTAATCACATTGTTGAGTGAATCACATGGTTATTAAACCAATCAGGCTTCCTCCATTGATTTTGCTTGTCAGAAGCCAGCTGGGAACATCACAAATAGCAATAGCAATAGCACTCAAACTCCTATACTACTTCACAGTGCTTTACAGCCCTCTCTGAGAGGTTCTCAGAATCAGCATGTTCTGATCCCCCCAAAATCTGGGTCTTCATTTTACTGACCTCGGAAGGATGGAAGGCTGAGTCAACCTTGAATCTGGTGAGATTCGAACTGCCAAATTGCAGGCAGCCAGCAGGCAGCAGAAGTAGCCTGCAGCACTGTGGCTTTATGGTACTGTAATCACTCAAATAGTCACTGCAATGGTCATAAGGGCATGCTGGTTGCCAAATGCTTGAATTTTGATCACGTGATACGAAGAACATCATGCAGGTTTCATTGGCAACAAGGTACCAGGTGAGGAATATCAGGCAGGAGAAGCAGAACGGAGAATGGAGAGGAAGGTAAGGCTAGTGAAAAGGATTGCTTCATGGGGCAATACGGTTTTGCAAATCCCGCCTGTATCTCTGAATATAAGAAGCTGAGGACATGAAATGGAATATGCTTAGGTAGGGGTACCCAACCCGTGGGCCATGCCCCAGAACCGGACTGCAGCTTGTTCAGAACTGGACCACGGAAGTGGCTAGCGAGCTCGAAGGTCCATTACATGAGCAACGGGTGGGTATGCTCATGTACCAAACTCCATTTGTGTGAGTGGCAGAAATGGAACCGCACAGGCACATAGATGTGCACCCATCACTCACTCAGAACCAACCCTTTTTTCCCTGCCCCTGCCAGTCCACCAAGCCGGAAAATTTAGGGACCGCTTAGGGATACCCTGGGAGTATCTACTGGCGATTATTAGAAACCAAATACTGGACTAGATCTTTGGGGGATCCAGCATTGCGGCACAGAGGTCAGAGAGCCTCGATAAAAGCCTGGTGAGATTTAGGGAGAGCAATCAAAGCTTTCTCCCTTTGAGTTCTAGAATGAGGATCCCCAACCTTTTCAATTCCCCAGACAAGTGATGGCAGCGGAAGCTGTGACTTATTAGGCAGTTTCGGTGGCAGCAGGGAGGGAGGTAATGGTTTCCATGCATGCAACCTAAATCCCGCACATTCACATATGAAGCTACGCACACTCACCTGCCACTTTGGCAGCCTGGTTCCCAACAAACCACAGTCTGAAATATCAAAGATGGATGAGGATGAAATCAGATCTGTATTCCACATGCATAACTTTACTTAAAAGTGCTGCAAATGGAAAACCAAAAGTGTATATATATATAAGGATCCAAATGAATTGGGGTTTTACATATTAAAACCAAGACAATACAGAGGACGAATTGCTTGTAGATAATTAATATTGGCTTGTCACCGTAATTTTTTGTGACATCTCTTCTGCCACTCATTGTCCTTCCTTTCTTTCTCTGCATAGATAACACCACCTCAGCCACCAGCAAAGACCAAACATCTGCAATCCAATGGTGTAAAATGGGCCAGCATGGAGGAACTTGACATAGACCACAGTAAGAAAGGTGAGATTCCTCTTTCATTTGGAATTAAAGAGCCAGGAAACAAGCAATTCTTCTTTCTGTTTTGCCTAAGCACATAACTCAAATGATGGGTGAAAAATCTCAGGTTGATCTCTGGCCTAGTAAGAGCACAAGACTGAAATTATATTAGTTGGAGTTGATTTGTCCACTACAATGTCCTTTGGACAATCTGAACTCGGTGTCTAGGATAGCAGTGAAGACCTTGTGGTCCTTCAGAAGTTGCTGAATTACATTCTCCCTCTCCAATATTCATGGTTGACTAGAACTATTGAATAGCTCAGTAGCATTTAGAAACCACGTGTTCTTCATCCTTGCTCTAGAAGAAAGCAATATGGTCTTTATATGTTCAAACTAAACTAGCTTCTCAGTGGCCTCCTAACATGTTGGATCGTGTGATATTGGAAGGAATGTATAAAAAATATCGTTTTTGCAGAGTGAACCTGCTCCTGTCACCTGTAAAACTTGAGACTTTCTGAGGCTGAAGTTTCATTCTCCTAGTGTGTGGGTTGGTTTACAAACGTTTCGCTACCATGCTGGGTAACATCTCCAGCGGAGTTTAGGCGATGTCAGTGTTCTTCCATTTATAAGGGCTTCTTGATAGGTCAGGTCTTGTGATGGGTCAGGTGTGTCAAGTGAGGGTCTTGTGATGTGTCTTGCAAATTGCAAATTATCACCCTCCCTACCACCTGCCATGCTCATGAGTTCATCAAAGCCTGTTACTCCACAAGCAATTCCATCAACAGACACAGGGTTGTACACCTATGTACCCCTCAGAATCCAAATCAACCACACAGCTAACCAGAGACAGCGACCCTCAACCAATCCATTCAAGCCCCCTCTTCAGAAGTTCATCTCCTCACTTGATGTAACCTCACCATCACAAGACCTATTACAAGACCCTCACTTGACATACCCACAGCGGACCCATCACAAAACCCTTATAAACAGAAGAACATTGACACCCCCTAAACTCCACTGAAGGGGTTCCCTAACTGGTAAATAAATGTTCAGAAACCAACCCACAAGCTCAGAGAATGAACCTTCACCGTCATTCTACACCCGAGCAGTGGCGATATTCTACTGGTTCGCCCAGTTCACCCGAACCAGTGGTAAGAAATGCTACTGTTCAGCTGAACCGGTTGTAAAATAACATCTACCGATTCACCCAAACCCGTATTTCTTTTTTCTTTTTTTCCTCCTGACGAGCAGCTGTTCTGAAGACCGACTGTGCCTGGATCCCACTCACTGTCTTACTGCTTTGCCCAGGAGGCTTCCCTGAGGCTCAGTAGGCATAAAGGGGCACGCAGGGAGGGGGGTGTGCACAAAAAAAGAAAGAAACCACGCCCACCAGTCACATGGCCATGCCCATCTAGCCACTCCCACCTAGCCATGCCCAAAGAACCGGTAGTAAAAATATTTGCATCCCACCCCTGCACCCGAACTACAGATATTCCCACTACTGAGACTTCATCCCAAGTCCTGATGTCCTTTCTACAACCCTTAGTGTCCTATCCTCATAACTCCAGTTGCTAACTGAAGAACTACTTGCTCTGAGAATGATCTCATTTTCTTTTTACCTCCTGGCTACTTCTTTCAATTAAAGAAATTATTTCAATTAAGCTACTTGCTGGTTTCTTTTCCCAGTTGTGCTCCTTGTTAATGACCCAGCAAAGAACATTACTTAAAGCCCTGGAATGGGGTCCCTGAAAACAATGGACCTGGTTTTCCAAATCCTTGGTGCAACCAGTTGTAGACAATCCAATCTTCTAGATGTCTGTCAAACACAACCCTGATGCAGCCCTCAATGAAATCGAGTTTGACACCCTTCACCTACAGCATATTAATTTACAGCAGGATACTGTAGAAGGGATATGGCTGCCTCTTGAATTAAGGGCTACAATGGAGACGTGCAAAATTGGGCAGCCCACCCCTCTTTCCCCCCTCCTGCCCTCCTCATTCCACCCACCCAGATCTGTGTGTTCCAAGAACGGTGCATCCGTTTTCAGAAGTGAATCTGTTAGAATAAGAAGTGGCATATTTTTCTTCTGGGCATGATCTTCTCCAAAGTACATAAATGATTCCGGAATACCTGCACACCTGGAAGAAAAATATAAAGTTATTGGAAGAGAACATATAGTCCTTGCACTTACTTACCTACAAGGACAAATCCTGCATGCCTGCTTCCTTCCAATGAATCCATGAGTGACATCTCTTTCTGCCCTGCTAGATCACTTCACCATGGTCAATGAGGAGCTCGTCCTGAGACTGGCCAACGGGACAAGTGGTGGTAGTAAGACTCTTCACATCCCACGCACTCTGGATACTGATGTCCCTTTAGACTACAATTCAAATTCTGATCAAGTCCGGACCTGGTTGGAGGCCAAAGGATTTGATCCATTGTGAGTTGGCCTGTGCTTCTTTTTGAAAAAAATACACAGATTGGTAATGAAATCCAGGCATATCTTTCCTGATATTTCTCTCTTTAAATCATATTAGATTCTAGATCAGAGATGCCATGCATGTCAACACTCTTTGTAGTTGACAAACATCTAATCTTTCAGTGAATGGCTTCTCAATAGCCACAATATAAAGCAGCAGCAACAGCTTTCCTGAATTAGTTGGTAGGCTTCTAAAATTTGCCATTGAGCTAGGGATTTTAGGTTTATACCTAATAGATGGTAACTCAAGTTAGGAGTAAAACTGTTAAATCAGATTCCTGTTTGATTGGAGCAGGGGGGAGGAGTCTCTCACTGGCGAACACCAGTCAATGAGGACCTAGCAACTATCTGATTGGTTGCTGCTTACCCAATGGCGAAGGAGGTGTGGTGAAGGAGGTGTGGCCGTTTAATCATGATGGAGATGTTCTTTGCTCCAGTGGTTCGAGTCCTAGCACTGCATGGCAGGGTGAGCTCCCGTCACTCATCCATCTAGCAGTTCAAAAACATGTTCTATGCAAGCAGATAAATAAATCCCACTTTGGTGGGGAGACAAGCTTCATGCATTTAGAATCCTGTTGGAACTGGACCTTCCCAATTGCAATTCACATTTGTGAGGCGAATTTGGTGGAGGGAGAGGGTCCCAGATGAAGCTGAAGAAAAGTAATTTGTTTTTCTTTCTGGTGTGGAGCTAGCTCCGCCCCCTGTGGCGCATCATGGAAAATTGCATGAGCGTGAATCAAAAAGGGCTAGCAGTCATAGGTAGTCAAACTATTACTCTGTATTAGAACTGTGATCTCCTAACTGATGTAATTTCGCCGTATGTCAAATAGATAAATTAAATCCATTGAAGATTTCTTTTATTGGTACTTTAAACATCCTGCTATTTGGTCGAAATTGCTGCCAGAGTGTGACTTAGTTCGATGTCACTTTCAAATCTGTTTCAGAGTTTAAATGGCATGGCTCCTTTTTCCTATCACGCTCAATTTATTCCACCGACTCTTTTCCCTCCTTCCTGCAGGATTGTCAATGCCCTGGGAATTCTGAACGGTGCTCAGCTCCTTTCTTTGCAGAAGGACGAGTTCAGAGCTATCCACCCAGAAGAAGGACCTCGAGTCTACAGCCAGGTTACCATCCAGAAAGCCCTCCTAAAGGTACCAGGGATTTTGAAAATTCCCCTAAGGGTTGGGAGAAGGGTGATGAGTCGAGACCATTCTTGACCATCAAGAGCACAAGAAATTTAAAAAAAACAAAAAATCTAGATTCAGCAAAGATATAAGGATTGGAAGGGGAGGGATGAGAGGGATGGGACAAGCTCGAAAGATGCCAGAGTTTCAAAGAAGTAGATAACATAATGAGAGTTTTGGGCTTGAAGTCAAGCACTTCGTCCTTAATTTTCTATTATTTTCTTCTAGGACTCTGGGAAAATGTCAGAGCTGGAGGCTGTGATGGCAAGACAAAAAAGAAAAGCAGAAGGATTGGACTAACAGAGCTCTTTTTTGTGTGGTGGTGTGACTTTGCTAAAGAAATGTGGAAATGCCAGATCTTCTCTCTATAAGATCAGAATCTACATTGTGCAGGGAGATCAGTGTGAAAGAATTGGTTGTAATTGTTACTGTGGGTGTTTTATCTTCCTGATCTGCTATAAAGAAGAGAAACCTCTGGGTATCCCCAGTTTCTCAAATCTCTCCTTTTAAAATAGACATCATGGAACAATCTTCTAGCACTCTCCCCTATTCCTTAATCCTCATTTTTTTTAAGAAAATAAATGAAATAATTATGTCCTACAGGATCTACACTATCTCCATTTTGGAGCAATTTGTTTATCTCCTAGTACAATTATCTCTCAATCTCTCCATAGGAAAATATAAATATGATATAGTGCATGCTATCATCCATTCAATTTTTGTTTTTTCATTGAACATCAGCATGGAAATTGTTGAACAGATTTCCCCCCCCCCCCAGTTGTATGGTCTCATGAACTATGCATGTAAATTTACACAAAAGCAATAATTTTATATGCAGTTTATTTGCACAGAACATCATAGGAATTGTAGCACTGCTGGGATCCAATTTTTTTTTACTACCGGTTCTATGGGCGTGGCTTGGTGGGCAGGGGAAGGATACCGCAAAATCTCCACTCCCTCCCCACCCCACTAACCTGCTTTCCAGCTCTGTTCTCCTGTGCAGGGCAACAAAAGAAGACCCAGCCGATCAGCTGGGACTCAATGGGAGGCAGAGAATAGATGGGGGCAGGGCCAGTCAGAGGTGGGATTTGCCGGTTCTCTGAACTACTCAAAATTTCCGCTACAGATTCTCCAGAACTGGTCAGAACCTGCTGAATACCACCTCTGAATTGTAGTCAGAGTTCTGCCTGCGTATTCAGTGAGTGATATTTTGCAGCTCTGTGAACTTTTTAAGCAAATCATCCTGTCTAGCCAAAATGACTCCACCTTTCCTTTTTTTTGATCAGTTCCTGTGAAATAATAGCTCAGCATAAAAAAAACCTATTAAATAATCTAAGGAAGTATGTGTCATGAAAAATGACAAATTATTATTATAAGGATTAATTGCTTAAAATTCAGAGGCCTTTGTTTGTCACAGAACAATATATACTTTTGGTCACTAGATGGCAGTCGGAAGCCTCTATGGGCAAACCAAGCTGTTTAGCTATAGATAATTTCCCTGAAAATCAAAAAGATTTAACCAGATCTTAAACAGCTTGTTCCTATTGTCCTGAAAGCATTTTTTATGGAGAAAAATGAATTGAATCAGCTACTTTGAAGGAATCTTATACAAGAAAATGTGATGTTTCAAGTTAAAAAAAGAGCCTCTATCATAAAATGGGGCCACTTGTTTTGAAACTTGCTGTGCTGTATGTGTGTATGTTAGCTAGTTATTTAACTAACTTGTTTTTTTCCAGTAGTTTTCTCACAATTTGATGAACATGTGTTGAACAATGCATGTCCATAATTTTGATTGCTGTGCTACTAAAGCAGTTTTCATTAGAAGTTTCTTGAGTTCAGTTTTACCCTTAAATCTACTAGCAGTTCTCCACAAATTGTTTAAGCTGCCAGTAAAATTAATGTTATTGTGGAAGAGAAAGGTATGGAAAGGTGTGTAAAAATCGCTGTAAGCTGCTTTCTCATAATAAATTTAATGCAGGAAATATTTATTTTAAGCCTATTTATATGAAATTACTATTGTTACTATCTGTTTTTAAAAGATTGATTTCTAAAACTTCTTTTTAAAAAAATGAAATTGATTTTGAAAGCTCTCTCTAGAACAGGGCCCCCAGTTAAGTTGGGCATTAAATAAAATGGTTTTCTGAGCAGCATGTAAATCTCTCAGGAAATAACATTTTAAACAACATTTTTAAGGCCAGAAATTCTGTTCTCTGGCTGTTTTGCAGGAAAGCATCATTGTAGAAGGACTAAAAATCAACCCCAAGGTCATCTATTCCTAGTGGTGGCACTGATGAATCCAATACAGGTAGTCCTCGACTTACAACAGTTCATTTAGTGACTATTCAAAGTTACAACTACACTGGGGGGAAAAGTGACTTATGACTGTTCTTCGCACTTACCACTGTTGCAGCATCCCCAGGGTCATGTGATCGAAATTCAAACGCTTGGCAACTGATTCACACGAAGGCAGCATCCCAGTCACATGATCCCCTTTTGTGACCCTCTGACAAACAAAGTCAGTGGGGAAGCCACATTCCCTTAAACAACCGTGTTACTAATTTAACAGCTGCACTGAATCACTTAACAAATGTGGCAAAGAAAGGTCAGTAAAATGGGGCCAAACTCACTTATCAAATGTTTCGCTTAGCAACAGAAATTTTGGGCTCCATGGTAGTTATCAGTTTGAGGGACCACATGTAAGGGATTTCAGTTTAGTTCGCACCTGGCAAATTTAGTGCAGTCCCCCCCCAAAAAAAACCCACACAGGAGATAATATCTCATTGATAGCTAATTAAAATTTGCACATTTTATACTTCTGGTTTATTTTTTCCAAACTTCCTGAGAGACCAACTGCTTATTTGTTATTGTGGGACATGATGGAAATGCAGTATCTGTTATTGTTTCAGGGCTTGGGGAGATTTTATGGAAGACATTGTTAATTATATCAACATTTGTAAATAAATGTTTCGAACAATAACCTGCCTCATGATACATTTCCAGTTATGCATGCAAGCAATCAATAATATATTAACTAATGCAAGTTCACGGATCTATTAATCTCATATTTTCATTGGCCATTTTTTGACATACTGGTTTTCATTTCACCCAGTAGAAATAGTTTTCTGGACCAATCTGTTTTAGTGATAGAGTTTTAGTTGTATTCTTCCATGTTAAATCATTATATAACTTTTGTTTCTCCCAAAACTTATTATTCTTATTTATTCTGTTCTTATAGACTAGGGTCCTGTTAAAATAATCCTAAACTATTTAGCATTAGAATGAGGTCAAATGATTTTAAGAAAGTAGTAGTGCATTATAGGGTTAAAAAGAACTTTAGTAGGCTGACCTTCTTCTTAGTTTTGTGGTGTGAAATGGGCTCATCAAGGTGTAATGTAAAGACATGAAAAGTGAAAAGAGAAGAGAAATAAAAGGAACATTGGAGAAATGGCAAAAACGTTTTACGTTTTGCTGAAGAATGACAAAACATCAACATATTTCCACTCTTTGCTGGAATTCCACATTTTCTTCTACTGGCTCAAGTTTCTGCATCAGCTTTCAGTGTCAAGTCAGGTCTTCTAAGTTCTCAGGATCTTTCTCCACCCCACATGATTGATTGATGCCTTGGTCTTCTGGATTTTTTCTGGAGAGCTCAGGATTGTGTCTGTACTGTCCCAAATGTAGAACATAGAATAATTGAGTTGGAAGAGACCGTGGTGATCCCCCTGTTCAAGGCAAGAGACCCTATATCATTCTGGACAAAAAGTTGTCCACTCATTTCTTAAAACCCCCACTAAATCATTATTCTCATTATCAGGAAATTTCTCTTTAATGCTAGGTTGGATCTTTCTTTGATAATCTTCCATCTTTTAATTTTTGTCTCAGGTGCTTTGGAGAATAGGTGGCCGCACAGTGGTGGGATTCAAAATTTTTTTACTACTGGTTCTGTGGGTGTGGCTTGGCAGACATAGCTTGGTGAGCGTGGCAGGGGAAGGATAGTAAAATCCCTATTCCCTCCCCACCCCACTAACCTGCTTTCCAGCTCCATTCTCCTGTGTAGGGCAACAAAAGGAGACCCAGCCGATCAACTAGGACTCAGGAGGAAGAGAATAGATGGGGGCGGGGCCAGTAAGAGGTGGTATTTGCCGGTTCTCCCAACTACTCAAAATTTCTGCTACCGGTTCTCCAGAACTGGTCAGAACCAGCTGAATACCACCACTGGTGGCTGCATCTTCTCTGTGATAACCCCTCAAGTTCTGGAAGACGGTGATCATGTCACCTCATTCCTTCTCTTCATTGGACTAGACATACCTAAGTTCCTCAGCGTCTTTTTTGTATCATAGTGACCAGAACTGGATGTGATGTCATCATTTTACCCTAAGAGCAACACCCCCTTGAGTTTTTTTTAAAGCAACAACCAGTGAGCTCCATGATCTAATGAGAACTCAACCTGGATTTTCTCCATACCTGTCCAATACTTCAATTGCTATTTCTACACAGTTCCCTTCTTGCCTCCCACAGCTGGACAGAAACCACAACGCTGCTTATTTGGGCTCGCTTAGAGAAAAGCAGGTCCAAGCAGCTTGTTTTGAAGAAAGTGTCTGGATTTTGCAACTTGAATGTTGTGGTGAGCACTGTTTATAAAGCAGATTCTTCTAATTCCTGACAGAGGAGGCCAGACCCTTTCGGAGCGGGCCTGAGCCTGCTTTGGAGGGCGGATCCCAACATGGGCTTGGCCTGCCAACTTCAACCGGCCAGGCTGAATGGAGTAGGGGGAGAAATGTTGACTCCGTCTTGCCTGGCATGTTGGGTCCATGGGGTTGTGGTTGATCCCACGAACTCATAATAGCTCAGTGAGGTATCCAGAAGTCTCAAGATAACCAGTGGCATGTGCTGAAGATGGAATGCGAGTTCTGGTTTGACAAGGATATTTAGGACCGGGTTGGGACCTACTGAGAAGATGACTCAGTCCTGGCGAGAAATATCACTTCAGTTGCCAAATACCAATATATTGCCACACACACACACACACACACACACACACACACACACACACACACACGCCCTTCAGGGATCTTTCCCTTGCTATATATTTCCCAACCAGCAGCAATCTCCATTAGAGAATCAGTCATAGAAGATGCTGGGAATAGGGAAGGGCTGGAGGAAAACCCAGAATTTTGTTATGGATTATTCAACTGTCTAAGTAGTTATGTGGGTCCTGGGCTTTCTTATCAATGAGTTTGGCAAACCAGGATATACCTTTGTGGACAGTAGACAAGAGGCCCACAGGAAGACAGTTGAACAATCACACCCATCAGAAGATCCTAAATAATTCTTAATCATCCTGGAGAAAAGTGTCAAATAGGGTGCAGTAGAGCTCCATCTTGGTTTCTGTATTAGTCAACATTACAATTTATAGAAAGTGGAATAGATGAAAGCGATGCATATCAAATTTGCAGATAATTGATTAGACTCTAAAAAACAAAATCACTGAACATTTTTTTGACTTTGAACAAAAATGTAGTATGATGATGTTTAGTGGTAACCAGTGTGAATATTCCACCTGAATAGAAAGAAAACAACAACAAATTCTGGATTAAGGAGACCTGATGTCAACTGTTCAACCAGAGAACCCAAAACAAGAAAACACTCTAGGGAGATTTGGTTTCCCAAAATAAAATTTATTGGATATGCCATATTGATACTGAAAAAACAAAAACAGCTCTGGTTTTCCTATGCAAATGCTTGTCGAGTTACACAATAGCTTCCCCTTCTCCCCACCCAGGGATGGGATTCTACCTGGTTGCACTGGTTCTATAGAACCAGTTGTTACGATTCTACACAGTTCAGAGAACTGGCAAATCTCACCATTGGCTGGCCCTGCCCCTCTCTACCTTGGCCAGTCACTCCTTAC